TAGGAATGTATCAGTCAGTATTTAACTCCATGTGTTCCTCTGAATCCCTAAGCCGTCTTCTATCCATCTACTGCTGGAAGAATATGAAGAAGTCTTGATTGCTGTCTCCTGTGTGCAGAGTTAAGAACAGGTGTGCTTTTAAATGATGCTGGTCTGTTTTAATGCATCTGCTTTTCTTGCCACACTACAATTCATCTTTCCAACTAAGCAGCTTAAACTTGCCGATAAATTCTGTGATACACACCTTAGGCCCTTGTGCTCATCTCTAAGTGCCTAGGTAGATGCACAGTTCTCCAGGGTCCAAGGAAATTTAAAAGAAATCTAAACTGATGTAGCACAAGATGGTGATAGGTCCAGAGGGAAATGCAGGCTACTAAGAATCAACTGGGGTCTTTTTAGGAATGCATGTGAATTTTGCCATAAACTGATGAGTTTAATTATCCATATCCTTCCAATATGCCTGAGATTTTAAGAATATCTAATAGGATTAAATAGGGGAATTGAAAGCAAGTGTGAAAACCTTTTAAATCTAAATGAGATGTGGCTCAAGATTGTATTAAAAATTTTATTAAAATATGGAGACTGAGATATATGTTGCTTCAGCTAATTAATATTAACAAACTTTGCTGAATATACTGTAATTTTTTACACGTGCTCAGTCGTAGAACATTATCCCTATCAGTAGACATTTAGATATACAAACCAGCCTGTTCCTCCATCTGTCTGCTTCAGAATACTTGGCATTTATTTTGCAATGTTGTAATAGTAGTTACAGCTTTGCAGTTGAGAACTATTACAGCAGTATCAATTTATCATATACAATTTAGCTTTAAAACCAGAAATTTGTCTTTTATTTATAACTTTAGTGCCTTGCTCTATTCTTACACATGGGGTAGAAGAGTCTAATGTATGCAATACAGCTGGGCAATAAAGAAGGTTAGTAATAAAGCCTTTTGCAGTAGTACATTCAAATAGAAGTATCCAGAGCACTGGATTTAAAAAAAAAAAACACACATCAACACCAAATCCTTTTTTGTAACCAGGAATTTGTTTCTGTTTTTTTGAAGTGCTTTCAGCAGACATATTTTTGCATGGTTTCCACAGAAACATTTTGCAGGAAGAAGGTATTCATCTTTAAAATAAATTGTTAGCTGAGGCAATGGGAAACTTTTGTATCTTCTATATGTAGCCAAATCTGAATCAGTTTACGCTGATAATTGTGTTAATCTAAAAAAACACCTAATTGCTTGTTGGTGGTTGTAAGCTAAGTGTATATTAAATTATTGTGCTTAGTTTTTAGAATTAGCTGTACATTCAGAATTACTCTTTGGATAGGATAGCATAATAATGTTGATTTGGAAAAGGAAGCTTTTATCTTCATTTTCCTTTCCCTTCTCTCCCTTATTCCCCAAACCACACGGAAATTTGGTTTTGAACAGCTGTTTCAGAGACTGGTGAAGATGTTATGTTTTTAAAGTTATACTAGACAATAAATGCAAATCTAGATAAGGGGAGGAAACAACTCTGATCAGTTAAACTTATTAGAAATTCACATAAATACTCAGGAGGCTATAAATTGCAAATTGATACAAACCTAAGGTGAGAGATCTACTAGAATTAAGTCAGATTCCATCTAGATCTTTAACTGCAAAATTTCACTAAAATTTAAGTTTAACTCTTAAAATAAATTCAATTGTGATATGTAGCCAAATATGTTAAACCATAAGTAGGAGCTAGGACTTCTATTGCCACAGTGACAAAGTTTGAGGTGTAATTAGAAGTATTTGAGTGACTGAGTGTGACAATGAGAGTAAATTCAGTTTCATGTTCTGGCTGCTCTGTTAAGTTTTATTTCATGTGGAGGTAATAACTGCAAAGAGAAAATGAGATGCCAGAAATGAGGAAAAGAGTAGAGTGAAGGTGAGGAATGGGGAAAAATTTATCAGGAAAGAGGAAAAGAGAAGGATGTACTTAATAGAAGGAAGAAAGACGTTACACATCCAGCAAATTATTGTTTTCTGATTTATGTTCTGGCAAACACATACTAGGTCAGAGACAACATTTGAAAAGCTGTAGGTGTAGATAAAAGAAGGCAGCTTAGCTGCAATTTTTGTAAATAGGCTGAGACTCTTATCTGCACACAGCGACAATTAAGTCACTAAGCTGAAATTTATTTATTTATTTATCCAATGTTTTATTTAGGGTTGAAAAATTATTGCCATTTGTAATTCCGTACCTTTATCTGAGCAAAATTTCAAAAAGTATGTTAGGAATTTGCATATTCTGGGAGCTTTAGCAATATTCTATCAACAAAATAATTTTTAATGTTTTACTGAGTAATTAAAGGACTGGATGGTAACCTAGTCCTATGACACATTGTTTTAATTACAGTTGTTTGTGTTTACATAGAATAAAGCAAATAAATGAATAATGGGTATCTCAGCTAAAAATGGGAAGCTGTCAGCCAGCTCAGACACTGTTCTTCTTTCAGGGACCTAGTTATGATAGAGCGTTTTGTGGTCTGTGTGATGATCATGATCAGGTAACCTTTGCACCTTCCTCAAGGATCTCATATTAGTGAGAAATTTAATACTGTAAAAATAACATTTTTAAGTGGTGCCACGCTTCTGCACGTATGTTTGTAACACTGATCTCTATGGAAGTGCTGTGGTAGATGTACCAGGTTTTTACACACAAAAAACAATTCTGTTTCAGTATGTGCAGGTAGACAACATATTTCATACGAGATTGTTATATCCTTTCTTCCACTGACACTCCCAACTCCACCTCAGATCAGAAGCATAGCCTGGAATGGCATTCTTTCTTCTAGATCTCCACAGACATTTGCCTGCCACAACGCAACGTAAATTTTGTCTTTTCTATGAGACTGTGATTATTAAATAACAACAGAAAGAGACATCACAGTCTTTACATAAATTATAGTGGTTTTGCTTAGTATAAAATGACCTCAGTTAAAAGGACGACACTTTTTTTTCATTTGTATAACCTGTTTTGTAACTTAGAGTAATTAGTGTAGTCAGAGGGAAATACAAAATAAAAGCCTTTTTTTTTTTTTTTTTTCTGCGGGGGAGTCTGTGTGTGTGTGTGTGTATGTGTGTGAAGTTGGTCTTCTTGTTTATTTGAAGGTGCCTATCTCGAGTGAGACGTCACACACCGACTGTCCCCTCTCTAGGTGCATTTCAGAACTCGTATCAAAATCCAGCAGACCCTTCTGCCAGAATCTATTCAAGAGAACACCCTGACTATTCATTGTGACTGATAAACCTGAAGATATATGATATCTTCCTTTTATTCTGAACCTCCTGTTTTGGTTTCACTTGCTTTCATTCAGGTACCAAAATCTTCCCGGAAAAGCAAATACCAAACTAATATCCAGGCTAAGACGGTAGATTGACTTGCTATTAGTGTATCTGTCTTCTTTTCTCTGCCCCTCTTCTTTTCTGAAGAAACCTTTTGTTTGCTTTCTCTTTGTTTCTTAGCTGTTAGAAAGCCTTTAAAAATGCTTTTACTTCTCTGTCACAGCATTATGCTATTTGGAGGGAGTATCAGCTGGAGTCATGGCAAAAAGAACTGCTGTCCTGGTAGTTTTATTTTGTATTCACCATACGATTCCCAGAATTGCATTGTTTCTTCCCAGAGGGGGAAGATTGGTCTCTCATGCAAATCACTGGTCCTTTTTTAGGCTTTTGTAGCCTTCCTGAAATTGTTGGAAAAGATCCTTCTTTCTGCAGAGCGGGAGGAGGAATTGCACCAGACAGGCTGGCCCCAGTCATTTTGTCCCTTTCCTGTGTCTTACAGCTCCTTTTGAGGAGCAGGCACCAGGCAGTACCTATCCTGAGTTCCCAGGGCTTCTGCTGCTCTTGTACATTTGACCGCCAAATCCAGCAGAATTATTTGATTTAAATTGAGACTTGCATTGGTATGAGAGTGCACAGAATCTGGCCAGAGCCTTGTCTGTATACGAAAGTCTCCTTGTTCTTTTAAGCTGAATTGATACGTTTTCCTACTGATTTAAGTGGTACATAAAATTGGCACCAGTTAAACAAAATTTTGTGTACATGTTATTTCAGCTGATAATATTTAGTGAGTAGGTGTGTCCACAGATTCAGTTTTTACAAAGCCTTGTTAGTGTTTATGG